ATTGTCATTAAATTTGTGCTGTGCGTAATCTGTTCATGCAATCTTTTAAAAACAATACGTTACATTAAGAGAAATTCAATGTAAATCTTCAAATTTACTACTTTTTATAGGCCCAGTACTGCACCTCACTCTAGATTCGTTCGTCTCATCTCACTGCACGTTCAAGACAATAATATTCTCTCCATACAAATGCAAAATGACTTCACTTGTATTGAACTGTATATTACAAGGTTTTATTTGAATACAATTAATGTGCATGTAATCACATGTAATCTCATGTGCAGAGAGAGGACTGAAGCTCCCATCACACCAAACTTTTTGTCATCCGTTAGAGAGGCTTACCCCACCCCTAGGCATTTCCCTAATTCACAAAATCAGTTATCCTCACAAATAATATGTAGACCTACATATTGGGGACATCTCTTCTAGTGATATTTCCAGAGAATATTTTGATACTAAGCTTCCATCAAACAACCAGAAACATTTCCATGTGTTAATCTTACAAACTCAACAAAGAGGCATTTCTTGTGGGGGATGGGGGAGGACGGATTTGTATTGTACACGAAAGACACAGTTCTTTATACATATACGTACACAATACACATTATAATAAAAACCAAAATGTAAACTGAACTGAAAGTCTTTCAGCAAATCTTGGAAGAGATTTAATTAATGTGCATATGGGGGGGGGGGGGATCAACTATATTGCTGTACACGCACGCGACAACAAACAATAATGGGTACAAAGGGTTTTTGTTGCTTATGGCAAGATAATAGCATGACACACTTAAGGGTGCCAAAAAATTGCAAAGATAAAAAAAGGGTATGTTTCTGGATTTAAATAGGCAAAAAAAAAAATCAGTTTAGAGGTATGTTTCTGGAGTATGTCAAATCCTGTTTCATGGGCTGCAGAACCGGGGGGGGGGGGGGGGGGGGGGGGGGGGGGGGGGGGGGGGGGACCCCTGCGATTAGGTTGATTTTCCACCACATTGGTCTGGAATTTGTACGACCTAGGTAGATGTTTTATAGGGGTTACACTTCATTAGAGGGTAAAATGAAAACAAAAACAAGTGATAATAGGTGAATAGGGTATAGATTGAACAAATTAATACAATAAAGCCTTAAGTGGTGGTTTAGAAAACCTTTGGTCTTGGTGAGTACAGCAATATAGTTGAGTCCCCCCCCCCCCCACATTAATATAGAAAAAAAATATAAACATCTTGTAATAAAAATCTTTAGCACACACAGCACTTTGGCAAATCTGGCAGAGAAATAAAGTACCAGTAGATGTGCACGTAGACACATGTATATATAATTTACAATTATTGAATACAGAGTGGTTTGCAGGTTAAATCCTACCTGACAAATTTCAACACATAATGTTCTAAATATGAGCTAGATGGATGTTCGATTACGTGCAGTAAAAAAAAAAAAAAAATTAAATTCAAGTCTGATTGATATCCATTAACAGGTTCGCAGAATATCGTTATTACAAGCTATTTTTTATATACATGTATGACCAAAAAAAAAAAAAACAACAACAATTAGGTTGATTTTCCACCACATTGGTCTGGAATTTGTACGACCTAGGTAGATGTTTTATAGGGGTTACACTTCATTAGAGGGTAAAATGAAAACAAAAACAAGTGATAATAGGTGAATAGGGTATAGATTGAACAAATTAATACAATAAAGCCTTAAGTGGTGGTTTAGAAAACCTTTGGTCTTGGTGAGTACAGCAATATAGTTGAGTCCCCCCCCCCCCCATTAATATAGAAAAAAAATATAAACATCTTGTAATAAAAATCTTTAGCACACACAGCACTTTGGCAAATCTGGCAGAGAAATAAAGTACCAGTAGATGTGCATGTAGACACATGTATATATAATTTACAATTATTGAATACAGAGTGGTTTGCAGGTTAAATCCTATCTGACAAATTTCAACACATAATGTTCTAAATATGAGCTAGATGGATGTTCGATTGCGCGCAGTAAAAAAAAATAAAAAAATTCAAATTCAAGTCTGATTGATATCCATTAACAGGTTCGCAGAATATCGTTATTACAAGCCATTTTTTATATACATGTATGACCAAAGATGTCCCGAAACTCCTTTGTCTGCGGAGATTTCAACAGTCGCAGAACTGCCTGGGGATACCATAACACCAACAAGAATGGAAAGGTCATTTCTGAATGGCTTGAATCTCAGGAGCTAGTGATACTGTACGACAGCAAGGACAACCACACATTCTACTCAGGGAGCCACAAATCATGGACCTGCCCCGACCTGTCACTGGTTTCATCAAACATCAGACACACCTGCTCAAGAACTGTTCTTCCAAAGTTCCCGAGGTCTGGCCACTTTCCAATCATCATCTCAAGCGACATCAAGCTTCAACTCTCCAACCTACCAAAGAAGAGATGGAATTTCAGAAAAGCTGACTGGCCCAAGTTCCAGGAACTCACGAACAAGCTAACATCTCGACTGCCAGACCCCTCCACCAGCAATGTGAATGACTCCTACTCTGCTTTCTGCTCCATGTTAGATCAGGTGGCAAAACTCTCCATCCCCAGGGGCAGGAGACACCCGTATATTCCATGCTGGAGGAAGAATGCGACCGTCTGTACGAATCCTACGCTAAGTCCAAGACCACTGAAGAAAGAGAAGCTGTAGGGAACGACCTGCTGATATCACTAGGAGAAAAGAGGAAGATTAGATGGGAAGAAGAAGTCTCTGAGATCAATTTACCCACTCTAGTCACAAGGCCTGGACTACCATCAACTAACTGACTGGTCGAAGCAACGCTCCAAAACAGTGTCCTGTTACTGCAAACTCCATCGCTTCAGTCCAAGTTAACAATGGAAAGTGGCAAGATAAAACCACTGAGGCCAAAGTCCACTCTCGCTCGGTGAACTCTGAGATTAAGAACCTCCTCAAGTCCACTCCAGAGTCAACCTCCATGTCTGAAGCCTTCACCTTGGATGAGGTTGAAACTGCACTGAAATCAATAAAGTCTGGCAAAGCACCATGCAATGATAACATCCACACAGAGTTCCTCAAGAACATGAGTCGCAAAGCTACTTCCTGGCTTCAAGCCTTTCTCTCTACCTGCATGATAACATCCACTATTTCATCAAAATGGAAGACCGCTAAAGTTATTGCCATTCTGAAGCCCAAGAAGCCTGCAGACGAACCCAAGAGCTACCGTCCAATCAGTCTGCTATCGCACATCTACAAGCTACTTGAAAGGCTGCTACTTGCCAGAATCGTTGACACTGTTGAAGAGAAGCTACCTACTACACAGGCAGGTTTCAGGAAAAGTAAATCAACCACTTACCAAGTAGTCAGGCTTGTAAACAACATAGTGACGGCCTTCCAGAAGAAGCAGAAGTTTGGTGCAGTTCTTGTCGACCTTACTGCGGCATTTGACACAGTATGGCACCGTGGCTTATACCTCAAGAACCTGCAGACCATTCCAGATGTAAGAATTGTGAAATTTATCATGCTGCTTATACAAGACCGGTCATTTGTCCTTGAAACATCAAACGGCGAATGCAGTAGGAAGAGGAATCTCCGCAATGGTGTGCCGCAAGGCTCTGTCCTCGCTCTGATACATTTCAACATCTATGTCTCTGATATGCCCAAGGGGGAATGCATGCAGTATTCCTACGCAGACGACACCGCACTGGGGTTCGACAACCACTCCTTCGAGGCAATCAAAACATCACTGGAGAAGGACCTGAAGATGCTAGCCGAGTTCTTCAACAGATGGCATCTCAAGATGAGCATACCAAAGACTGTATCCTCTGTCTTCCACCTGGCTAACCGATGCGCCAATCGAGAGCTGAATATCTCACTAGATGGGTCTAGGCTGAACTTCGTCTCAACACCAAAGTACCTAGGTGTCACTCTTGACCGAAGCCTCACCTTCCCAGAGCATGCCAAAGCCACAGCTCAAAAGACCCAAGCCAGTGTGTCTCTTCTAAAGAAGCTTGCAGGGACCGGATGGGGAGCTAATTTCACCACCCTTCGCACCTCTGCTCTAGCTCTTGCCTTCTCCACTGCAGAGTATGCTGCACCTGCATGGAGCCACAGCACCCATGTACACAAGGTTGATGCTGTCCTCAATGATGCTATATGAGACAAATCAGCGGAACACTCACTGCAACACCCGTCAGCAACCTGCCAATATTATCAGGCATACCACCAGCTCAGCACGGATGAGATGCGCAGTACACTAAGCTTGTCCAAAAGCATGACAGAGATAAATGCCTTGTTCCTGCCTCCTCTGCCTTTGAAGGACAGCGTCTCCCTAGAAGACACTTTGCAACACAGGCTGCTGAGCTGCCGCTTGAGAAGCCCCCCTCCACCTTAGCCACTTGGATAGCAAAACGCTGGTCAGACCAGTGGAATTCGTCCACTACCAACTTGAAGGCGTTCATCCCAAAGCCCTGTGCAAAACCAAGTGGCAGCGACCTCCCAAGAAAAGCCTGGGTCAACCTTAACCGCATCAGAACTGGAGTTGGCCGTACACAATATTTCCTACATAAAATTGGAGCTGATTTATCACCAAACTGCGCCTGTGGAGAGATCCAAACTATAAATCATGTCATTGATGATTGTCCAATCTACAAATCCCCCCACGGCGCTCCCAGACTTCGTGAGCTCGATGATGAAACAATCTGTTGGCTTAATAAGGATCTTCCTATCTAGATGATGTACTCCCTGATATTCTTTGCACGAACGAACGATGACCCTTTGGTCTTTGGTCTTATGACCCTAAAATCTAATCAGTTCAATGCCTCTGCAAGAAACATACATGTCCCGATTTTGATAGTAATCCATTTGTCGGTTGTAATAAGAAGGCGTTCACAAGCTATTTTTGCATATATAATGAGCCCCATGACCTTTGACCCCAAAATCTACTCAGTTCATTGGCTCTGCAAGATAAATACATGTTTTGAGTTTGATGGTAAAATGTCCATCGGTTCTTGAGATGACGTGATCACAAGCTATTTTTGCATACATAATGAGTCATGTAACCTTTGACCTTGTGACCCCAAAATCTAATCAGTTCATTGGCTTTGCCAGATACATGCATGGTTTAAGTTTGGCAGAAATCCATCCATCGGTTCTTCTTGAGATAACACGATCACGAGAACGGGACATACGGACAACCCGAAAAACGTAACCAAAAACATTTGACATTTGACAAGATAAGCACATTGTTGAACAGTAGGTGGTAAATAATCATGAGAAACTACTGTTGATTGCCTTCACTGAGTGCGGTCAAGGATCTCATGACCCCCAAATCATTCTCACTCAAGTATACATACACTTAAGTAAACATGTAAGTTGATGTATCAAACATTATTTCATGTAAGATTAGGCAATTTCAATTAATTCACTTATTATGAATGCTGTGATCTTTGGCACCCCAAATCTTGTCGGATAATTCTCACTATGGTATGCACACATGCTACAAGTTTGAAGTTAAGTGGTCCGATTATTATTGCCAGAACAAGCCACTTAATATCTACATGAGTCAAGTTTGAAGTTGATATGTTGAATGGTTCGCAACAATGAAAATGGGATGGACTGGCAGCCAACTTGAATACAAAGCTATGTTACCGGTAAGTACAAGGACTTGTATGCCTCCAGAAAACAGTGAAGGATTTACTTTTGCAAGCCCTGGCCCATAAATAACCATTTCTATTCTCTTCTCTTTACCTCTCATCTCCTTCTTTTTTCTGGTGATTTAAAAAGTTGTCTGGATTTATTTTGATCAAATTTGTATTTATTAATTTTCTGATGTTTATGGGCAAATATATGAAAACAATTTTTATATTATGTATCATAGTAATGTCCTTTTTTGGTTGAAGGCACAAACACAGCAGAAGTAAAATTAATATACTGCTGTCATAACAGGGTAATACATGTATTCCTGTCCCCAGCTCTTTATGATACATTCCTTTTTTTACCTGATATGCAATTCCTGCTATAACAAGGTTATTTCTATGGTAATATCATAAACCTCAAGTGACTGATTTTGAACTGTAGTTTAGTATAAACTACAAGAAATCCGAGATAGGTTTGAACAATACATTAAAAAACATTATCAACGGCAAGTCCACCTAAAGCATCTAGGTTGAATTGAATCAATAGTGTTAATTAAACCCTAATCAGGCCAGAATATCAGTTTACCCCATAGCCGGGGGGATCCTATTACCCACCCCCCCCCCCTGAAATCTTGCAGTCGACTGCAAGGATCATTGACGAGTACACATCATTTGCATAAATCAACACTGTTTAAAGAACGATGTGAAATAAAGTACATAAGTTTTGAAGCCTTGTCTATGTTTTTATTGTTATTATTGAATGGAAAAATGAAATAAATTAAAGAGAGCGATAACTTTTTGAACTAACAATCAGTACATTTTTTAATAGCATGGATCAAAATGTAAAATTTTAGGAAGGAATAGAAACTAAGGTAAACTTTGAGTGAATAATAAGTTAAGGTAAAAATTGTACAATTTTGCTCAATATTGGAGCCCATAATGGGTTTTATGCTCATTTTTCGCAAAGCGTTCCGACAAACCTATTGAGTGATAAATGAAATACATACGGTATGGTATGAATTTAAAGTAGATAGGAAGCTAAAAAAAAGTAATTAAATTTCATATGAATGGAAAGCACGAAGCCTAGGGATTACAATCAAATACAACAAATCACTCATTTCCTGTGATGATAGAGTTACAACCAAAAGAAATCCCTCTTCCCAAAAGAGTAATAACAGGAATTGCAAAATGCCAAACCAGATGTTCAACTCACATCATGTCACATGATGTACTATTCTGAACAGTGCAAGCAATGTAAAAGTTAATTCTGTGTTAACATATGCCAGTCAATAACTGATTTATATACTTTCCGTAGGCAATATCGTTCTTACACACTTCACTCATACCGAGCTATGCAGATTGGGCAGACATAGTCTCCTTCAGGGGCACTGCTCATCCCTACACACTTGTAGTGACACCATCTGCCACATACCTCGCAGCACACCCAATCTGCTGGCAATATTGGCTTGCTGCAGCCCACCATGTCACAAACTTTACTTTGCTTATGTGGCTTTTCTGCTGCCTGGAGGAGTTTGAAGAGCACATAGTTCCGCATGCTCCTGGCATGGTCTTGTCTGAGGACTGAAGGTGATGTATTCCAGGTCAAAGCCAAGGCATTCTTAACAAATTAATACAGGAAGAAAGGAAAATATAATTGATAATTAAGTCAGCTAATTGTTGATAACTAAGAAGCAAGAGCATGTAGGTTGAACAATTTCACTAGAACAGCTTGAATGGATTTTATTAAATTAATTCTAGATGTTTTAAACAATTGCAGTTGTCCTACATTGCTGACATTTCTGTATACATGTATCCTTACATTATAATGAGCCAGGAAGCTTAATATGTTGGTTATTACTGCTGGGTCCCGTTTCATAAAACTTGTTATCAATAACAAACGCAACATTTCTATGACAAATTGAATGCCACGATTCCAGTAGCTTTTTACATTATTGAAATTTGTTATTGATAACAAGCTGTATTGAAACGGGACCCTGCTACAGCTCCATGGAGGCACTATTGAACATCCTTCATGATCACCAGAACAGTGTTTGGGGCTTTTGAGTTTTAGGATCACACAAATATTACAGGGAGTCATTAATTTTGCAACTTCATTTCCCCTTCATAAATCCTACCAAGGTCATGCTAAAGGTTGTACTCATTCAATGCCAGAGAGATCACAGTGGATAAAACTTTACCGACTGTAATAATGCACAATTCAAAAAGAACAAATAAGAAGAAAAAAACCAGGTCCAATATTCCTTTTCAGGTTGCAAATTTCAAACGCACTAAAAGAGATGGTCACGTGTTAGAAGTAAACAAAAATATAAACGGTTTGGTGATTCTAAATTCTGGATATCTTAATGATATTTTGTACTGTTTGAGCCAACATAAAAACCACCCTGTAAGGTATGACATCTCATGAAGTTCATATTTTGTTGTTTTTATTCCAAACTCACAGTACAAACATGTATGTAGAAAAGAAGAATACACAATATGCATTTATATTTATGTTATCCCTGTTAGGTAACAGCTATGAATATTTATATATAATATTGACTGGCCTTGAGGGAGATACCACATATATTTCCTGAACTAGACTCATCTTGCCAGAGTCGAAGACGAGGGCAATATGGATCTATAAAAATAAAGCCTGTTTGTTATTATCCAAATCAGACATCTAGAGTAAGATCGTAAAGATGGAAAAGTTTTACCCATTGACAGAGCTGCCAAGTATCCTTGATTGTCATGAAAACTCCCTGAAATTTTGATGATTTTTTGCATATAAAAAACATTAATATTTAGAATCTCTCTGATTCATACATTGATAATCTCAATTGGAATGTTGCAATGAGAACGATTTACCTGATTTCTCTGTGAATTTTCTCTAAAAGAGGACTATTAAAGTTGGCAGCTCGATCTGCATTTAAAACATTTAGATACCGTATATCAGGTACTCTGAGCTTTATTGTAACTTAATTATTGGGGCATGTATCCATTGTCTTAGCCGTGCTAGGTCATTATGACGTTGTTACAATGCGTATGATTCAAACACATATCCTCTTTCTATGTGTCCTCAAATGCCAGGACGTTAGCCAGTGATGATACAACAACATATTGCCTGTTTTACAACATGTTAAGTCCATATGCTTTTGTGAAAGATGGCGATAAAAGAAATATTACCATCATTGCCCCGTCTGCATAAAAAACGAGGGGAATACAGTTTTGTAAGACCATAGCTCAGATATCTGATACGGTTAATAATTCTATGTATGTAACTCTAAGTAATTTTGTCTTATACAAAAGAACAGAATATTGATAAACAACAATACACTTACGAGCATGACAAATGGGCCACATGAACTACCGTCCGATTGTTGGGCTGAAGTAATTTTCTCGTCATATGACCACTCTTCTTGCAGTTCGCCAGTACACCTTGCCCTGGCTGCCATGTACTGTCTACGAAATACATAAAACATATAAAAAAGGATTTTACAAGAAAGTTCAAATAATTTTTATTATTAACATAAGTAGTTTAACAAATAGAGTAAAAGTTAATAACGAAATATAACTGCAAATATTAAAACCTTGAACCTCCGGTTTGACAGTACGGTGGTCTACTGGTAAGTTTTAAAGTCGATTTTCACATAAAAAATTATAAAATGGGCATATATGGATCATAATCAAATGATTAGCTGAGAGCCAGTCACATAGCATTCCTCATTTCTCCTAACGGCCTAACCTTGCATTTTTGGCAAGCAATCGCTCATTAGGAAAGTAGCTTGCACGTGTGTGCGTCAATGTGACTGATAAGGTTAAATTAAGCAGCACGTACAAGTTGGAGCAACGTGCACACGTACCTCAATTTAAGGTTGAGCTTATATCTTCATGTACGTGCTGCATAGCGCACCTACACCTGTATGGCTGCAAGTGTGCAATGCTTGCTCTAGCTTCATCAGCAGTGGCCAGCATGCCGCTCCCTGCCCTAGTTTTTAACTTGCAAGCTAGAGTGCTGTCCCAGCTCAGCTAGCTAGCTAGTTTGTAGTTATAAGTGTCAATTTTGTGCTACGGTATATTGTGTTTTCAAGAAGGGATATACCGTGTTTGATTTACATTTGTTAGTAAGTTTGCTTTCCTTGTGCCTGTGGTCTGACTCACATCACATTCCCTGGTCTGATCTGGGTTTCCCCATATCCAGTATGAATAGACCAGTCCTCCGCCTAGGATTATCAAATCCAACTGTTGTAGATCTATCATCTAGACTAAATTTACATTTTACATAATCTATCAAAGAACAAGGATCCATATATTCTATTTTAGAAAACAAATAACATGCGACCTTGGTTCATGCATTGCTCAATTAATTATCGTAGCACATTTGATAAATTCATAATTATCCAAAGCTACAACACATACAATTGGAAAGTTCATTGCATGTGCTAATTTTAACCAATGCCAACTGCACATTATTTGTAAAATAATACTAACTTTAATACTGGGGATAGTATGAAATGACAAATCATTGTTCCTATTAAATTTAGGGAATGTAAGATTAGCATGTACATGTGAGAGACATGAACCAATAACATGCACAAGTAGAGCATGTTCCGTAACAACATGATATTACACATTTTAAAACTACATTTCCACAGTATAATAACACATTTCTTTTTTGGTAATCATCAGATATTTACCTAAATTTTTCAAAGTATAACAAATTGTCATGGCCGGCAAGGGAATCCAATATTGAGACTGTTCTTGATTGGATATTGGCCACCAACAGGATCCAGTGGCTCTGGCGAACATTGATGGGCATAAAAACCCAGGTGAATCGTCTCAACACCACCTATGGAAGAGAACACCGCAATGTACTTTGTAAATAAAGTAAACATGAAGCTTTGAGGAGGGTAAAAAGTCAAACAGGACTTCCTTCCACAAAAGATACTTTGTTCCATCACTGTTTAGGTCAACGCCTTTACCAGCTGTATTAATAATAGGCGGAAAATTGTACATGTCTATTAAGGCCGAAAAAGAAAAGTCAACAAATAATGGATGGCCGAGGGAAAAAAAGTGAAAGAAAATACAACAAAGACTGGGCTACGATTTTGGTAGGTGACAAGGTTGTGTGTGTGTGGGTGTGGGGGGGGGGGGGGTGCAACATAAACGGAATGAAATTCAAAAAACAAAGTTTTCCTTATGTATGCCCTTGTTCATACAATTTCTTATGTTTTTTAATTTTTTAGTTTATTGTATTTCAAAGAAATTTAATACAGATCATTGAACAATAATAATTACCAACAAATTAACTATTTGTGCCAATCATTATGAAAATAATCACTATTTTATGAATTTGAAGACTATAGCCCATTTCCATTTAATTTGTTAATAAAAGAAAAGAGCATTTTGGCCAGAGATTGTCTTGCTGAATGTCAAGTGACTTCACAAGGCTATACATATATGTCTAGCATTGGGTTTCAAAATTTGTGCACGAAAGACTTATAGTTTTAATAAAGATTCAATAATAACAATTATATTGGACTATTATTCTAACATTAAAATCTTACAAATGCGTAGTGACCGTTGTATCGTATTTCATGAATTGAATCTTTGTGAAAACTTAAACCTGACTGTCAGATCAGGTTTCGCGTCCTCTCTTGAAAATGTTATTATTTTTCTTAAAGGAAATACAAAGTTTTGGTATGGGGTCATGAGTTTGGTTCAAATGAACATATTGGAATCATATGCGATTGAAATCAAGTCTAAATTTATTAAATTATAAATATTAAACTCTTTATGTTGTATATCTCCCTCTTAAGGTCAAGATATTAATTAAGCCATAAAACAATGTTTCTTGACTAAAATCAACCGATTAGCTATTCCCGTTTGGAATTGCATATCATAACTACATATTTTGAGATTTTCGTGGTCGCAGCCACCATTGTATGGCCGTAAGCACTATATGAAATTTATCAGAATTTACCAGGAGCACCGGTAAATTTTGATATTCAATTTTTATCGAAAGCAGAAGTGTTTTAAAGGCTAAATTTGTTAGTGCTTATAATCCATCTACAGGGGCATCCAAATATATCAAAATTGTAAAGAATCACTATCGGGCCAATTTTGAAATTTCCCAAAACTTTGTATTACCTTTAATATAGGCCCTTCAAATACTTATAGATTTAATTAAATTATTTCAGCAAGCTATACATGAAGATTGAATCCTGAAATTATATTCCCATTTCATGCTTGTGAAGTACCGGTAGTTTTACACAAGAATGAAAAAAATAAGCAAATTATCGTGGCCTTACAGTGTATATTTGATTTCAGAAATTTTTATTTCAAACTTATATCAGTTATTAGTAGATCTCATCTTTCATGCAATAAGGGATTTATAATATACGGTAAGAGTAATTTTAATTGACAATGAATTCAAACTTTGAATATTAGTTTTCTTTAGAGTCAAAACTATTGACTAACTTGAATACAATAGTTACAAAATTACATAGTATATACTCAGAAAATGTCACTGTTTTCTTTGTTTTGAAATTAACACTAAGAAGAAACTCTATCATATCTGTAACAAATGAAAGTGTTAAGAGACCACTTTCTAATTTTTGACATTTTGATTATATAAGAGGTCCATGGAACTTTCGCTCTCCTGAACAGATTATCAGGGGCCCGGCAGGTTCCTTCAGCACTAGTCCTGGAAGATGTCCCCCTAAATAATTTTGTAGGCATGCATGTACAAAGGCAATATTTGTAACTACAATTTTTGCAATATCTCAAATTTAAAAAATGGCCTTTCATTTTGTTGTGTATGCATGGAGCTGTGATAAACCATGTCTTATAAATTATCTGAATAGGGAGCGCATGAATATTGTACTCTAGTTGCTCTTTAAATACAAAGTTTTAAACATTCAAGATTAGTTTGAATGCAGGTTATAACTTTTCAAACATTACCAAAAAAAATTAACATATAGGTTTTCAACAACTAGAACTTACCTTCTGAAACATCCACGGTTGCATATTCTTACAGCTCCACTGGACGGCCACATATGAAGGGAGTAGGAAGATGTGACCAAAGTCACTTTGGTTATTTTTGGTCATCAACAGATGCAAATAGCCATTGATTATCTGAAGAAAAAAAAGAAACATCAACAAAGACAATTAGAATGCCCAATACCATAGACCTACGAGTGATGGACTATAATAATAATAATAATAATAATGTAATAATAACATATTCATACTGTTCTCCCCGAGGGCCCCGCAATCATATTATTACCCCGATCATCGGATCCAGGCTTACCCGCACACAGTGTATGCACATTCTCCACTCCCTGGGGAGTATTTCAGCCAGGCGTCATTTTTACAAGCATACACTTGCTAATCTAAGCACATTAGCTTTCGTATCCTACCGGGTACCCATTTAACACCTGGGTGGAGAGTGGCAAATGTAGATCAATGTCTTGCCAAAGGATATTAGTGCCGCGGTGGGACTTGAACCGCGGACCTTGTGATCCACAGTTCGGTGACATATCCACTCGTCCAGCACACCTCCATGTTAACATGATTTTCCTTCTGATCTAATGATCTCCACCCCCTTCTGAAAAGTTCTGAATATGTGCATCTTAGAGCATTCAGCTGTTTTACCAGTAACAGTTACATATTAAAGCAGGTTCTGTCATTAGCAAAGGAGCAGTTTCCATCTGCTGGCTTTTTTTGGCTGGTGTGCTTTGTAATAGTATTTTTCTTGAATAAAAACACTGCCAATGAGGAGCAAAAATGTTGAGAACCATATGATTTGTGAATTATAAATTTAAAAATGCACATTTTCGCATGCCCAGTTAACAACTAGAAGGCTACCGGTAATATCTTTATAAGCCCGTCCAGTGTAACTAAAGAATAAGATGATGAAAATGGGTAAAATAGGATTCAAAATCTTAACCCTTACTGTACTGGGGGGGGGGGGGGGACCTGGGAGGCCCCCTCCCTCGACATTTTTGCAGATCGCGCCGCAACCGCTTGGAATTTTTAATTGTCATTTCATGACTTTTTTCCCTCAAGTCTTGCGCACATTTTGATACCATTTTCGTCAAAATCGGATATACCTGTAAGGCGTTACATAACAATTAGTATGCGCATGTCATCAAAAAAGTGCTATAATTGCATATATTCATGTACAAGCAGAAATGTGAAGATATGAATTGATATCAAATTGCTTTTATATGTTTCTCAGAGTATTTTGATGTATCCCATAACAAAAGAATACATTAGAAATAAAACAATAGATATAATAAGAAATAAAAAACAGTAGAATACATAAGAAAATAAATAGTTGAAAATCGCATCAAATTTGCATAAATTATCATTATTAATTATATCAAATAACTATTTTGTGTTAGAAAAGAAATTTCATATGAATAATGAGTTTTAACATTCAAAAGTGGAGTCTGATAATTTTTGTAATGATTTTAGTTCCCTAAATATAGTTCCAGATTTGATATTCATGAATGCGTAATTTGCGTATTCATAATTTATGCAAATTAACCTATGCATTTTTAAATATCATAAAACTAATGAAATCTCATGAATTTGAGATGACAAGGAAACATTTATTCAATACATTTTCAAGATTCTTCACAAGTCTACGGACAAATATGTAGAGTTTTCTGTAAAATGCATAAAATTAGCATTTTGCATAATTAATTGGGCTATAACGACAAAAATTTGCATATTAGGAAAAAACTAATTATACCATCTTGTTCCTTACGTAAATATCTACAAATATGCAAATTTTCGTGTTCATTGGACTTTCGACGGCCGAGATCATAGGGGGGGGGGGCCTCCCAGGCTCCCCCCCCCCCCCCAGTCAGAGTACAGTAAGGGTTAAACAATCAATCAAAATATAACCTCTATTATTAATAACAATAATAATAATAACCATATTTATAAAGGGCAACATATCCATCTCTAGAGATACTGCAAGGCGCATACAAACAATTTTGTACTATCAACAAGTGTTCCAAAGTATAACACATGGAACAGCAAGTTCAAATTATTAACCAAAATTGAACATGGATATTCCATGATTCAAGTGATTTAAGTGTTTAAATCACTGTCTTTCTCACTGCTAATTAGCGGTGGACCAATCATAAGTTCAAAGTGGAGAAACCTGCATGAGGATCTTGCTTATAACAATACTTTTTGGTGGATATAACTTCTGTGAATTTCTTAACAATAATGTCATGGAAGATGGGTGAAATTAAAATTTATTCCTGACAATAAGCCAGTTCATAATTGCAGTCTGCGCATGAGCAGATAAAGGTCATTGCAGAACAAATTGTGAAATACACAGAGAGAAAATACTGGATACATGCTCACGAAAGTTATGTGATCACTATTCATTTATGCACAAGCAGTGCACTCCATATGATACACAGGTGAAAGTATTCTTTGAAAAGGGGAAACAATGATAGGTCTATTTCTGTAGCACCTCCATCGCTGTAGGAGTGATTTATTGCAAAATGTACAAAGTGGGACCACTTCTATTTTGAAGATCTGTGACTATTCGGGGTCATTTGGGACATGTGCTAACCGTGAACTGGTCTGAGCCAATACTCCTGGGATTCGTAACTCAATCAAAATGTATGTTGTACTGTTCTACAATAAAAAAAAATGTATACACACCTTGTCATTAATCCAATTGGGATGAACAAGACTGACGAAGTCCCGGTGCTCAAGCACATCACCGCTCACGTGGTACCGTGCCCGTTTGCCTTTAGGTACCGCTACTTTTGGCAAGACAATTTCTTTTAGCAGCCTTCTTGCATCTACACACAAACAAAAATAAATAAATAAATAAATATTGCATAAGAGACAGATGCATGCAGATTTCCTGTTCATATAACCTGTGACAATTGTAATAATATTATTTATAAGAGTTATACATGTAATTTTGGGAAGAAAAAATAACCTAATTACTTATAAAATAATGATTATGATGATTAAGAACTTCATACACACCCATTTTCAGTCTTGAAGAAGCAGTTGAGGAGCGTGAGGCAGTTGAGGAGCATGAGGCAGTTGAGGAGCGTGAGGTGGCTGGGGCCGAGGCGTCTGGGGCCGAGGTGGCTGGGGCAGAGGCGTCTGGGGCCGAGGTGGCTGGGGCAGAGGCGTCTGGGGCCGAGGCGGCTGGGGCAGAGGCGTCTGGGGCCGAGGCGGCTGGGGCCGAGGTGGCTGGGGCCGAGGCGTCTGGGGCCGAGGCGGCTGGGGCCGAGGCGGCTGGGGCAGAGGCGGCTGGGGCAGAGGCGTCTGGGGCAGAGGCGTCTGGGGCCGAGGCGACTGGGGCCGATGTGTCTGGGGCCGAGGCGGCTGGGGCCGATGTGTCTGGGGCCGAGGCGTCTGGGGCCGAGGCGCCTGGGGCCGAGGCCGAGGCGGCTGGGGCAGAGACGTCTGGGGCCGAGGTAGATGGAGTAAATTGGAGCTCTGAAAAAGCCCAGTTAAAATAGGGTTATGGGGCAGTTGTACTACTTGCCATATTGCTCTCCCTATAGAATAACAGATACAGGACCTAACAACATTTAATTTCAATGTATTCACTTCTTTAGGCACATTCATTTTATAACACATATGGGTAATTCTACACAGTTGGGTTGGGCCACAAAGTGTGACATTTTGAGGGTTAAAAGAGAGTAATTATTATTACATGAAAAAGAAGCAAAATGTTCTCACCTTGTGCGGCTTGAGCTAGATAGTCTGTAATTAGTCTGCTGTTGCCTCTCTTCCTATCAGCTGCAGTTCCAACGCGAACAGACTTCCTCTTTTTCCTCTGTGGGAGTACAGTGTCATGTCTCCCACTGCTGTGTTTCTGTCGCTTTCTCTTTTTCTTTCCTCGTGGTGCTACTGGAGCGTCAACTAATCCAGCCTCATTCTGCATACGCAGATGGGTGGTAGCAACTAATAAGCCCAGCTTATCTTCCATCGATGTCAGGATCTGTACATCATTGCAGACATAAGAGAGATCTCGGAGGACCTCAAGATGCTCCCTCACCTGTAAAGCGACTGCCTTCTTGGATGACAGCTGACGACTCACAGGCAGGTCCACATGTGAAACTTCTCCCTCATCAAACTCAAGTGTTTCATCTATCGATGAAACACCAGACCTCTCTGGGAGAAACCCAGAGACATGCGAGTCCAGTGTGAAGAGAGGCGACTCGCGGTATTCCTCTGGCAGGTCCTGCCAGCTGGCCTCACCAAGGTGGAAAATGGCAAACATGTGCTTGCAAGGGAGGCGGAACCACCTCCAAGCCCAACACTCACATGAAGGAATGTTCTGTGCTGAATTAATATGGACGTTGTAACAACATCCCGGCAGAGATGTCTCACTTTTCACCTTAAAAGAGAACAAATAAGTTAGAAGAACTTTGTAAAGTTAAAGTCCATCAAAATTTTTACTACTTAATTAGAGTTACACAATTCATTCATGTATTTATAATAAACTATATGTTTGTTTTAGAGACTTTAATCCCTTTCTTTAATTTATTTACAGGCCTTCCTGAACAGGAGTCATTGAATACAGAACTAAATATAACATACGTGAAATGATCTTACAAATTAATGCATAATCAAAGAAAATAATTATTTATAAATGCTAAACCTTACATAAAGTTACAAAGGAATCCACTTTTTAGTGTTCCTATAACCACGACCCAAGACTGGCTGAAATGCTATAGCAAGCCAAATTCTCAGTCTGGCCGAAATACAAAAGAAAAAAAAAATACATGAAAAAAAAAAAATAAATAAATAAATAAATGAATAAAAAAAATAAAAAAATAAATAAAATAGAAACAAAAAACAAAACAAACAAAAAAAGGCAAAAGATTATTTACTGGCTTGAAGGTAATGTCAACATATTTTAAAGCAACTTAAATACAATTATGATATACATATAGTACCTGGAAGTGAGATCCGGATATCTTTATGACATCTTCTTTGCATACAGTGAGTGCATACTCCATCTTCATCATGCAATGGTGTATGAAGGAGTGTGGGCGGGACCTCAAATATGAAGGAATACCTTCATCATAGGTCCTTCCAAGTGATTCCATTGACGACACATTTTTCTGAATGTACCTTTTATTAAACAGAAGAGTAAATAAAAACATCAATAAAACAATGGCAATGCACTAGTGTAGCAAGATGTTAAGATTAGACTAGTAATTAAAGAATGAGAGGGAATTAAATAGTTTTAAATAGAAATTTGTGATCATGACATTTTCACTATGTTGCTTGTTTACTCTAGTTACCGGTACTCAAATCAACTTGAATTTAGGATGGAATTTCCTATTCAAAGGGACTAACCTTGAACCCCTTGGGGTATACGGTAGGGAGTGGGCATGTGCCCTATTTTAGAATTTAGAGCATGAACAAACAAAAACTATTCAGAAAGGAAAATAAGGATAAATATTTATTAAATAGAATTTTTCATTTTTTTATTTTTCATGAAATCAAATGGTGAGGTGCATGTCTATGTGGCAGATCACCTAATAAATATTGATTTTAAACAAAATCAAAAGGTAGTCTGTAATGCTACATACTGTACCATATAACCTTAATCACATTATATGTCCCTGAAAGATGATAAATCAATAATATGTTTAGGCTTTCAATATGTTCTAAAAGTCATCCCATTTACCATCTCATAACTTTTTGTGGCATTTTAGGAATTAACATATAGAATGACAAAACACATAGTAATATTACAATTACTAGGGGAATACATGTACATGTACATACAGGAAAATAATGTGGATGGCAATGACAATCATTGAATCAAGTTAAATAAACCTGATATGTTCTCACCGGAGTTTCATGGTTGGCAGGTATTCTGTAATGAGGGCAGAGACCATTCCAGAGATGCCAAGATCTTTCTTCTGTTCCAAGTAGTCATACTTGAAAATCTTATTCTGCCGCTCAATACCGTTATTCGTATTGACCTGAAGATCTCTGTCAGCACGATAGGCCCAAACCCAACGCTGAAATGAAAGGTAAATAGGTAACAATGAGATTGTGCTAGCCATGACTGAGGGAAAATTGAGGTGAAATCTGAAGTTGAAGTTTCTTTGTGTAGAAATTTACATTGTGAAAATGCTGATAGCATGGAGTAAATTAAAATCTTAACAGGAGTGCTTTTCCACTGAAGTTGGTGTATCAAAGGAACTATGGAAAAAAGTGCATGATAATAAAGGACCTACCAAATATGAGGCATTAAAATGACACAATCTATCTGTGATGCATCAAGATATATTACCTTGAAATGTGGGTACCATTGTTTGGAGAACCAGTTCCTCAGCTTGGAACTAGATCTCCACTCAGGTGATGACTCAAAAGCGCCCAAGGCAGCTTGATACTCCGCAGGTTGTGTGGCATGAGCACACCTCCTCATCATACCTAACACCTTCTGCTTACAAGAGGTGACACCATTTTCCGTCTTGCTCAACCACCGCAGCCAAGCCTGCTCTCGGTGGAAGTCGCACAGGAAAGTTGTGCATTCTACAAAAAAGCACATTAGGATTTTGAGAAAATTTAGAATACAAATTTGACTTGAATTTGTTGAGTAATTTGTGACAATTTCCATGACCAAGGTTCTAAACAGGCCCTAATTTAGAATAGAAAAAACAAATTAATAAAGAGCAGATCACTATATCTACACAGAAGCAGCAAAATCCTTGAAACACAATAGAGAATGTTTTGGGAGAAAAAGACAAGTATAATTCTAAATTGGCAATATAGCAATTTTAAGAAATATAAATGCTGGAATGCTGGAATGGCAAAGTTAAATTCATTAAATTATGGATTATGTATTACCGATACAGATTATGTTATAAAAAAAAATTTGAAACAGAATGGTGTACATGGTTCCAAAATCATCTTATACAATGATTCTAGGAGGAAAGATAAATTGAAGAATATATTTATCATGTTTAATACATATACAAAAATTAAATAAACAAGATGGATTCTCAACCACACGCCTGCCAGATCAGAAATATAATGCACATTAATTTGTTTAGATCTCATGTCCACAAGCTATTTCAGAGTAGTACCTGTGACCTCATGACTCCAAAATCTGATCAGTTCGCCTGCGGGCCGCCCGTATTAGCTATGAAGTTTCATATATATATATATATGTATCCATCCATTAATTCTTGAGATATCGCGTTCACAAGTTAATAATAATATGCCGTTCTTTTATAGCGCATATCACATTATGAGCTAATATCAATGCGCTTCCGAAGTTTAGACAGATGGACACACAACCCAAACACATAATGCCCCTGGCACCCTTCGAGATGAATGTATAAAAAGATGAGCATGTTTATCATACATACATGTACTCATTACCAAATGGTGATGACCCATAATCTTTTGTATATGTACAAATTTATTTACCTGGAAATGTCTCTTCAATTGCTTTGATTTCTCTTTCAGAGAAATCCGTCATGAAGTATGAAGGGTTCCAATCCTTACCATCTTCTTCCATCCATTGTTTGATGGTCTGGAGGCCAAGCTGAATTGCTCTTGCAGTCTCATACTGCACAACGAAATCACCAACGACTGAATAGCCGTGATTGGTCTTTACGGCCAAAAAGAACAACGGAACGGCATATTTCGTTGTGCGGTATGTTGCATCAAGAAGGCAAAGCTTGTTGCCATATCTAGGACAAAGAAAACCAATTACTGAGTTATTGATTTTTGTTAATATGAACATCATTTTGGCTTGTCTACGGCACTTGCACCGTTTTTGGTACAATTGATAGCAGCATCCTTTGTAGGACACCTTAAATTCCCTATTTTATACACAGCTAATATTTTGTTCTCTCCTGTTTTTTCCTTCCTTTTCTTAGATTGGGGGTAATGAGAAATTCACCATTGAAAATGTTAATATGCTATCAATATTAGATTTGATTTGATTTGAAAAGGTTTGGGCAGGTCAACAGCTGATTTAGGTGGAATTTACATCATTAAAAAGATCAAATGAATGCAATACAAAGTAAATATGAAACATTTTGACATAATGGCTTAGATTTATACATAATCAAAGAGAAATACCAAATTAAAAAATAAAGGAAGAGAAGACTTGAAAGAAAGAAAAAAAAAGGGTGACAAAGGATGAGACTACCGGTGGGGCAACAAAAGGGAGATATAGTTATATAAATAAAGAAAGGGGAGAATGATAGAGGTTGTTGAACATGTAAAGAGATGCAAGCGGAACAGCAAAAGAGTAGAATAGAGAAGGGAAGCAAAGACATATAACCATACATTGTAGCAATTACGTGTACGAGGTGTGTTTGCAAGATGGGTACCATGTCTTTTGACTATAGAACAAAAGCACAGCAGATGCAGAATGTCAAGATAAAACTTGACACTCTTTTATGCCAACCCATCCAAATTCTTGGAACGATTTGTTACTACATGTATATGAATGAGACTTGGGTTCATCACTATCAGCCCGAGACCAAGGAACAGTCAACAGTGGAAGCATTTCATGTCACACCAGTCCCAAGGAAGGCAAAGGTCACTCCATCTGCTGGCAAGGACATAGCATCTGTTTTCTGGGATGCACAAGTGCTTTAGTGGACTACCTCCAGAAGACCAGAACGGTTCTACCATCAATGGACACTACTAATCTGACTTACTGAAGCACTTAAGCGAGAACATCAAGACAAAGAGGCAAGGACAATGCTCCAGAACATTCATCATTGGTTGCGATGGCAACCATCCGGGATCGCAGTTTCCAACTTGTTCCTCACCCACCATATTCACCAGACCTAGCCCCATCAGACTTCCATGTATTGCCGAAACTCAAAAAGAATTTACAAGCTACACCATTGACGAGGTCATTGATGCCGATGACTCCTACATGGAGGACCCACCAAAGAACTTCTACAGCAGTGGTATTGAGGCACTCTGTCACCACTGGCAGAAGTGTGTGGACTCACAAGGGGACTGTGTAGAAAAATAGGGCAGTCCAGTTCTTCTGACTCTTACCATCTCTGGGAGGCTCCAAACTTTTCAGTCGGCCTCTCGTATATAAATAAAAACAAACTTCATACAAATCAAGCATAGAGCCGCTGTTTTGAGTAATCAGGAAACTGATTACGGGTATAAAGTACTAATTATTATAAAGAGGGAGTTGGGTTTGTGAAATAAAATTGTATGATATGCATTTCTTTAATAGTGTAGGGATTTGCCTCTTATGCATTTCTATGATGAATAGATCCATTCAAAAGGAAATAAAAACATGAACTCTCTTTTTTTCATGGAATAATAAATATAGGAAGTTGTCACAATTTAACATAAAAACAAACCGTTGTAATAGGTGTCGTTGAAATCTTGTTTGATGGCAAAAGAAGAAGTGTGAAGCACCAGATTCTCGGGGATTAGGTACTACTTCTTCATCATCTTCTTGTGGTATTGGGTCATCAATGTCTCCCACAGGGGCAGTTGATGGAAGGGTCAGCTTGAAGTTGTCCTCTGGATACTGTTGGGCCCATTCCTTCACCTGAATTTCTAGATTTTCCAGGTCCAACTTAGAGTACCTACATGAAACCAAAACAAAAAAGAAGTATGTCACATTAGGAAAGACACATCGAATTGTATATTTTATGTACCTAGCAATGTACATCTCAATTGCAGCTATCACTTTATCAGCCATTTGAATTTATGCAGTTTTAGCCATGCATCTGGCAGACACACATCAGCAAGTCATGTGCAGTGCTCATTCCACCCTTAGTAAATGGTTGTACAGCTTCACTAGAGAAGCTTACTACTACTACTAAGTCAATGAATATATATCTAAAAGTTACTCATAAAAGGAGAATAGCCAAAATCCAAGGAAATACATTGAAACAGAAGCAAACAAAAAACAACAAAAAAGCATATCAGTGAAAACCTAAGGAAAAAATCCTCACAAAAAAAGAAGAATACAATTTAAAACACAGTTAGGTGCATAAAAATTAGAAATTGTCAACATATTAATACTATATTATAATGATGATATAAAAGCTGTACTCCCAACTTGCTTTTAAGGTTAATTCTTTATTACATTTCAGCTGAGTTCTCATCATTAAAGGTATTAATTCCACGTACATCCCCAATAATACAAAAAACAAAATATCCTGATAAACTTTTTAAAGAAAAGTAGAGTTTTGTATTATTGTATTGTATGTATTGTGTTTAGTTATGTGGTTGTCAGTCAGAAATTAGATATTAATAAAGACTTATCCTTGGGCAGAATAGAAACGTCGCATGTAATGTAAGATCTGGTACACAAGTTCATGCACACTATAAAATGGCAGCAAACTCGGGTTAGTAGGCAAGCTTAGGCATTGTGGCTATGCTTCAAGAATAATTCAAACCCAAAAATAGTATGCACTTTAACAGAAGTAGAAATATCTTAGAAGTACTTTAGAAGAATAATTGGCAAGGGATAAAGAATTGTTAAGATCTAAAAAAACCTAAGATCGCTAAATATATTGACATCTGAAATTGGAAACATACTCATCTTGCTCCAGAGATATTAAATGATGTTTTGTGCTGCTCTCATTATCCACAACCACCCCCCCCCCCCCCCCCCACCCCAGAAAAAAAAAAAAAAAAAATAATAATAATAATAATAATAATAATAAATTAATTAGTTTAAAAAAAAAAAAAAAAAAAAAATCAGCTTTAAACATAGAAATCAATGTGCTTGAAAAGATTGTGAGGAATTAATTTACAAACATCACCTACATACAGAAGTCTTATTTCCCAATAAATCATTCTAGAAAAGTGGGCAATTGCAAGGTATAGCATAATTACATCTCATGAGCACAATATGGATATTGCCTATTTGAGATCTGTATACATTTAATACCTATTTTAGAATTATAAATACTTTTCATAACTGTTGTATTACTTTTCCATTTTCCTCAACCTTTCACTGAAAACAAATATATATTGTGGGAAACTACAACTGGTGTTCATAACCAGAGCTGCCAATCATGTGCGACCAAAAAAGGGAATCATGATGGCCAAAAAAAGGAATTTCAAGCAAAAAAAAAGGAATTTGTAAAAACAAAACTTACAACCACGAGCGACACACTTCCAATGCAAAAATTTTCATTCCTCATGCTGTTTTTTCCATACAAGCAGGTATTTATTGTTTGGTTATTTGTTATTATCGGCATTGCATTCTTTTTGAGAATATTTTTCTTTTGAAGTATTGAGATTAAGATGCCCGAGGTCAATAAATATTTGAATCTATTAATAAGAATGCTTAACTTTTATTCTGAAAAATGTAATGTTAAGAATTGGGGCAATAGAAGTACACCTTACACATTCCAAATTATACATCTATATGAAGAGCAAAAGAGCAATAGAAAGAAAGAAAGACAAGAGAGAGAGAGAGAGAGAGAGCAAAAGGGATGGATGATAATCTCATATCGCCTTTAATACGGTCAATCATTAAGCAATCTTTAGAGGAAGGAAAGTGTTTTTTTGGCGTATACATTTGGCGATGAGAAAATGACAATATGTTAGATTTGTATCATAGTAATAATAGTAATACATGTAGCATAATAATAGTAATACATGTAGCATAATAATAGTAATAATATTAATAGTATAATAATAGTAATAATAGTAATAGTATGAAAATAGTAATAGTATAATAATAGTATAATAATAGTAATTGTATCATAACAACAACGACAATAACAACAACAGCAACAACAACAATATTAATGATAATAATTATAATAATGATTATATAATAATAATAATAATACAAATAATAATACAAATAAAAATAACAATAACAATTATAAACTATTCAATATAATTATAGCCCCAACTCCACTCTGCATATAGAAATAACCAATACCGGTAATTATAACAGAAATGTTATAAATTAAAGGAGTCAGAGGCTAAAATACATTTTGATCATGAGAATGACAAAAAAAAGTTGAAAAGAAGTTTGCAATTCGTGGCAGACTTACATATGTACAAGCATGTGACCTAGCATGCCAAAAGCAGACACTTGTTAGATCAACTTATATGTGACCTATTAAAATAGATGTATTCCTAATCCATTGCAGTTTTTATTTGTTATCATGCCCATGTTTTAATCGCCTAACCCAGGATAATATGATCATGGAATTTGATTGTTGTACAAAATGTATCTGTTGGATCGATGTGTTGAGCGCTATATAAAAAACATAATAACAAACAACAACAAAAATCATAAAATCAATGGCAGATGTAAAATAAATGTCATTTTCTATTTTTTGATCCATGATAGTTAAAACAAAATCAATCAAAAAATCAATGAATGATAAAAATAAGTCTGATTCACTGAAATAAGGATTCTCTCAGCTTCATCCCCAACGACAAGTGTCTAATTTTTGCAAACTCAGTGATAACCATCATACACAATACAATTTTTATTTTAAGAGGGCAATAGTAAAACATAAAAATAGAAGAAATCAAAGCTCCTAGTATTCAAAGCACATTGTCTTGTTGGTTAAAGCATTTAATAGTAAGCTAGCTCTTCAAATCTAACACTTGTATTCAGGGTTCATGCTTAAAAGCCAGACCTGTGGACATGTGAAGCACAAGGCAAATGAACACAAATGGAAGTACTTGTATACGAAACAATTATTCTCAACTGAAATTTACCATGGGGGAGGGGCAAGGGTTGGGGGTTGAAGGGAATTTGTTGGCACACGCACACACATACAAAAAGCAACACTTTTTTCAGGACACATGGCTGGAATATATTAAACAAACTGCAGTCAAATAAAGAGTTCTGTGTCATGCCAAAAGCCAACTAAAATTGCAGTAGCACAATGTAATCAAAATAAATTGGCAAAGCTTTATTTTTGTTAAAGTAAATACTAAAAGTCTATGAAATTGCTGCCAGCACCATGTAAATGAAAAACCCATCACCAGTCTACTACATATGCACTAAGGATTCATTTGATAGAGTACACAAATAAGAAAGCACAAAAAAAAGCAGAAAGCAGGATATAATACAACTAAATTGGAGATTGCACTATATAATGCAGTAAAAATAATATGGAAATAAAGATAAAAATATATGAAGGATCACAGCAAGCGTAAAAAGGTGCATGACAAAGGACCTATAAAACTTACGCCAGTTGTCCACACTGCTCAATCCACATTTGTAGCATAGCTAGTATCCATTGACGAACAAAAAAAATATACATATATATTTGATGAAACACATGAACTTATTTTTATTTTATTTTTCAGAAAAGAATTCAATTCCTCTTTTGAGAATCAACTTTTTTAAAATCTCATCATGAATAATTGCAGGTCTTCAGCATGCTAAGACAGAGATAAGGTGCCTGTTTCTCGAAACCAACGTCAAGACAGTCATAACTTTATCCGCTAACTACGGAGATGTCTCTGATCTTCCTAAACCGTTTCACAAAAAGCTTATGAGCTAGACATCTCGTGAAATCGATACTATTGCCGAGAAGAGGAGAAAGACATAGCCTTATCTAGAAATTAATTTATATGGGTCTGAAAACTAGAGAATACACTTCTGACTATGGCTTGCCTGCCCTTGCAGATTACCCAATACCCATCCCTTCGAGGATTTTATAATGTGGAAATAAACATGTATAATCGGTTTAGTTGAAAAAGTGGAAAAAGTCTTAGATCTAAACATGGCATATTTATGGCATATATATATTATATATTTCATAAGATTTTGAAATATAAAATATGATAACTCCCTGTTTAAGTGAATGTGTGGATAGATCATAGCTGGAGGATTTCTTCTCCTTTTTTGCCAGCCATAGTCTACCCAATAAGGACATGTAATGGCGCTGCCCATCGACTAAAGAGTTATGACAGGTTGGAAGCATCATATCCACTTTCAGGATGTTGTTCTTGATCTTGGCAAAAACGACTTTGTGAGACACGTAACCAGTAGCTTTACTAATGCTGATTGGGTCAAGAAGTTAGACTTATGAAGGTTTCAAGAAACAGGCCTTACATGAATAGTAGGACCAAAATTTTCTTTAAATATAAAGAAAGAAGTAGGATACAACCCACCAAAGTGGGATATATTAATTTTTTTGGAGTAACTTTCATTAATATTTGCACAATTTGAGTATAAACAATTAACAATTATCTTACTTGAGATAAAGAATAAATAAAGGAATATAAAAATCTAAATTTTGGTTAACTGCAAGGCTTTAGGTCGGAGTAAAGGCCAAATCAGCTTCAAATCGTAGCCGATCGTACTGTATTGCTATGACGTCACTTAATTATGAATTGATTTCGCTTATTTACCTATAAAAAGGCTCACAAGAGCTATGAATTTCAACTTTAGTACTCATACAACAATTTAGAGCTTTGGTCGGTATGATCTTCCATGTTTGAATATTCATATTAATTACTTTCACCTAAACGGGTCACAGACCAGCAGACCGATCGTAAGGTGTGCGGTGGGCCTAACAAGAAAGTGTGAATGACAGCAGGTCCGAAAATCCAAAAATATAACATTACAAATGTAGAAATGGAGGAAGCATAAAAATAAGCATGCAGAAATATTGAAGTTTAAAGTTACCCTTTTAAATAAGAAATACATGCATGTAATAAATACCTTAATTTCACGATTGAAGCATATATGTGATTCCTAAGACACTTCTCGGTGGGATAATATGCCAAGTTTGTACATGGTGGCCGAGATTGGGGACTTGGAAATAATACAGTCTCTACATGTATTCTCAGATGGCGCTTCATCTCCTTGACTGTCGTGACGCCATGTGTCACCAGTTCATGTATTTTCTTCCTCAATTCACTGTTTAATGGGTTAAGAAACCCAGTAAGCTATAAAGAACAAAGTTTGACAAAGATTGGCAAAGACTTGTAAGGAAGTACAACAATATCATTAAAAAGAGATGTTCTGGATATACTATTTATACACTCCTACTGGCAAACAGATTTATAATGGGACATAGTATACGTGTAATCTTATATATAGAATTTGTTTGTACTGGGAAACTTGACATACATAGCAAGAAATAGACTAAGAGTGATTGCACACACAAAAAACAGCCATCTTAGAGTAAATGCAATACTTATGTCAAAACAACAGTCTGCCTCTGCCCTCATTTTTCTTTTGTTGTATAAGAGGAATAAATGTTGCTATCTTGTTCTGTACAACAAACTTTACAGTTGTCATGTCTGCCTGACATTTTATGAAGTGACTTGACCTTAGAAGAACTTTGTTTTGTAAATATTATTGTTTTGACTTTATTGTGTGGCTAGAAGTCTTGGCTTTTATTCAATTTAAAGGTATACACCAGTTTTGGAAATGCCCCCCTCTCAAAAAATGAACACTGTAACATTATTGGAGTGCCACACATACTTTCTTCGCCTCACATTGTCCAATTTGCATAAAAAGATACATATGTGAGATCATCTGATAATCCACTCACAATTTCCAGTAACTTTTGTCAGGGCCAAATTTAGGTATCCCATTCACTGCCATCCAAATACTAACCCTGATCTGATGTAAACTGAGTATGTGTGTGTGTGTGTGTGTGTTTGCGCTCTCACCTCAGCATTCTTGTGGGGTTTTATGTGCGCTTCACATACCCCTTGTGAGGCATTTTTACTTTGTGGGGTATTTTTTCAGAGTAAAGTCTTTCAAATGACTGTATATTCGGTGTCCTATGCCCTGCGGGGCATTAGAAGTGGTACCCCATAAATGACTTTTTGTGAGCGTGTGCTAAAACTTGCACACTTTTTTATGGTAACATCGTAAGCACACCGCCGGGTTCTTATCGCCAGGTTGTACATACCCCACTAGTAGGGGACCACAAGGTATATCTGGAACGCACAGAAATACCCCACAATCAGGTGCCCCACAAAGGCCCTGATGTGAGAATGTGTGTGTGTGTGTGTGTGTGTGTGTGTGTATGTGTGTGTGAGAGGGTGAGGGTGTGTGTTTATGTGGAAAGGTGTAACTGGTTGCCATAATGTGGTACAGGTCACAGCTATAGCCACACACTGTCTTGGTTAATTGAGACAAGATTAAGAAAACTATATACATATTTCAGTATCGGTATACCTCGCCCACACTGTGTGTCTTTTGGTGGTCCTCGTTGCTTGGCAGCCTAATGTAGAATCTTCTCTCAGAGGCAAGGGTTTCCCCTCTAAGGCGAGCAAGCCTGATCTCCTCACTTGCTTTTCTCTTACTCCACTTGGAGTTACAATCCTATAACAAAAACAAGAGTAATAATACATTAAACTTCAGCCATTACAATAATATTCAATAGTGTAAAATAGAATAGGGATAGCTGTTTTTTATTTTAATCTACATGTACTATGGTTTTGGAAATCGTTTAAAGTGAAAGATTATATCATAAAACACATGTGACATCCGGGAATGAGATCTAACTCTAAGAACAGGAAAAAGTGAGTCTTATTCTTGTGGGTGTTACACTTTATAATCAAAATATCCCAAATTAGAAAGGTGCCATTAAGACATTTTCCTTACATAGATGTGCATATTTCAAGAACAAGGAAAGCTGACATTTTTTGGAATACAGAGCTGCTTTCTGATATGTATGAAAAGTATTATAAACAGAATTTCACGAAAAATCCTATTTAAGCAAAAGACATTAAAGAAAGGCAAAAACCAATAAAACTAAGCTGTGCATCAGTGGAAAATCTGGATCAAATCTGTTTTCCAATGTTTAAACATAGGGTTAGCATGTTTGCAAAGCTTTAGTTGTGCCATGTGGAAGGTGACGTTTTAGATGGATATTTTTTGTTTATAAAACTTTATATAGGCCCTTTAGATTTCACTATTTAAAATTGCTTTGTCATGTTTTTTTTCATGTCACGAAGAAGGAAATAGAAGTTTAGAACACAGAAGGACAAAGAATTTGCATTTGGAAAACAGAAAACTGGGGACTCTACCTAACAGCACAGTCAAGTTTTAACAATTTGGGCATCAAAATGTGCGTAAGACTAAGACATTAGGGAGAAATGTCCGGAAGCGATAATTCAATCACAATTTCAAACAATTGCAACTTAATACAAAAAACTAGAAAGAGGGCACAATTTTCATTGCTAATACAGGACCTAACCACTATTTATATCGTTTATCAATAAGTGTGCACAGAGCAGTGCTTTTGAAAGCTACTGATAAGAGGACAACAATGGTGTAACATCTGCAAACTATCAGTGACAAACAATGTCAAGCACATACATTGATAGAAAAAATGCAGGAATTTCTCTGGAAATGGCCAACAGATCTGAAGACTCAAATAATTGGTGTGTTGAAATGATCTGGGCCAGTATTCTGAAAATCGTTGCATCATTTATCTGAACTTCAATAATCAGAAATAAAGCAAAATCGCTGAATGTCAATTTGGGCATTTTTTTTCCAATCAAAAGTGCATATTCAAAATCTGTTGTGACAAATAATACCATTCAGATAAGAAAAAGGAAAGAACAAGTTTCAGAAGATCAGTCCTTGGGTGTACTATGCAGATTAAGACTGGACATACTCCTGATTTGGTTCTCTGATCCACCATGCATACATGTACATACAAAAGTACAAGGGCATACTGAGCAACAATTGTTACCTTGTAGTCGATGAATCTTGTCACTTGCTTCACGTCTATTCCGGCTGTACATCCCTTTTTCTTGGATCCCACAATTTTCTTGTAGTGTCTTTTTGTAGGATGGTCACCCTGTTATTATCAGTATAATATAACAACATCAAAAATAAAATGCAAGAATTAAAGGAATTATCTTTACTGAAGAAAAAAAAAGTAAAAAAAAGTAATGAAAGAGTCATAATCCTAAATCGCTAAAACTATAAGTATGGGGTATCTGAAATTGGTAACATGTATTCTCTTTTACATATATTCCTGGGAGAAATTTCAACAAGTCAACGCAAAGCGTAGTTTCCCCTCGCAGGGTACAAATGGCCTATATACGTCAGAACAAGTTACCTCCTTTGGACTATATTATACAACACCTACATGGATCCTGAAATCACCATTATCAAATGGTTAGCCAAAAAACAAAGAAAAAAGGAAGAAAACAAACATACAATGTAGATGAACCACCAAGCTAAGTACATGCCACAAACATAGACCTAAACCAAAACAACTTTTGGCATTTATTTCAATTTCTTACCGAAAGAAGTCTTGCCCTCTCCTCCTCTCCTCTCTTTTTCCTTGCAGCATTTTTGTCTCGACCGAACATGCATGCATAGGAGATATGCCGCTCAGTCAAAAACGGCACACCATCCTCAGGGATCACACTATCCCGAATGTCCTGGAAGCGGACCTTTCGTTGTTTGGCTGTACCTGTGATAGAACAAAAAGATTTTTACAATTTAAAAGGAATAGAGTCCTACGATAATTGTATGAGTTTAATCATCAAGGTTGAGTCTCATATCTCATAGAATTGCATTTTAGTTTCATGCGATCGAAATAGATTTTCTATTCTTAATTCCATATTTCATAACATAAAGTACAAATATTGTAAACACTGTTATCTTCGCAGGATTAATTTTTCGCACTGAGCGACACCAAAACATAGGCTTGTTTCACACAATCCAGCCTGTTTAACACAATCATAAGAAGTCATGCTTATATTTTCTTTGAGTTCTAAAATTTGCGCTTGCTGATCTTAGCCCGAAATCCATGAAAATTAATGTACCAAGATTTGTTTGCATTTACAGTAACCCTTAATTTAAGCCCATTTTTTCTTAAAGGTAAAGACCAGTTATGGTCATGCGATTGCATTGTGAAAGAAATGTTGTGGAATCGATCAGAAAAGGTTGATCATCTAGCATCTAGCATCTGCAAGGTTCTGGAATCATCAAAATGATAAGAAATTTGGCCCATTCTTCGTAAAGTTACAAGCACTATACACAGAAAGATGTATATGGGACTACCCTATATCTCTCACAGACCATGAGAGAAATAAATTTACCAAATATATGAATTAGTAGGCGGTTTCCCGGCAAATTTTGTATCATCATGTATTAGTCAAAACATATTCTTTCACATGATTGGTAATGAGAGCTTCCATTTCATTTTTTGAAATTGGGGCGTTTCCAATACTGGTCTTTACCTTTAACCTTATATAGTATCCCTTCTACGTATTTCAACAAAAAATTAGAGAAAGATAATTCAGTGTAGTTTATGCAAGACGGTACAACCTTCCAATCGCATATCCCTCTTCATGTGCACGGTGTTTTGATGACCTAAAAACTAAAAGGATATCGTACTTCATACAGAGCTGCATGATATGACCATATCGTAATATCACAACAATGAAACTTCAGTGAATACACAATATTAAGAAAGGAACAACGCCTCTGCCCCTTCACACTTAAGTGAATGTTTTTAGGGGCTCCTTCCTTAACATCATCCAGTAGGTCCCTTAACCAAAAAAAGACGGTCCTAAAATGAACCACAGACCAATGTGATCTTACATTAAACATGGGCCTCTGGCACGACGCCCTGCCCCTGTTCACACATACATTTATATGAATATCATGACCCTCACATAGTTATAATGTCACAAGGAAGCCCCGTACCAAAAATTGCATTTTTGCATGCGCATACACTCAGTAATAAATCCAACAGGCTAAACCTAGAAGCAGTGACCGGGAATTACAGGCCAACCCTTCTGCCCGTACTAGATGATGATGATGATGATGATGATGTTATTTTACCCTATTTCTTATCTGGGGGCTCTGGGACTATGCCCCCGCCCCCAAATCGCACCTTATAAATATTTTATTGGGGGTTCCTAGAGTCCTACCATAGGCAAAATTGTTCAGAAGGTCCTAGACCCTAGCTAAAGTATAACTATAAGGAAGCCCTGTTGTACCAAAAAATTGCATTTGTACAAGTAGAATTAGAAAGTAGACTACAAACAACAAATTTGATGTTGACCTTATTTCTTATTTGGGGGCTCTAGACCTATAGGTATACTACTAGTACATAGGTCTAGATCTACTTGGATGCCCCTGTTCACCACACCATTTACATTTTTCCTTTTTTTGGGAGGGGGGGAGGGGGGGGGCTTCTAAAGTGCTATGATCTATCCTAATAGTGTTCAGTAGATATCTATCCTGCTAATAGAGTACCGAAGCGCTGTGACGTCATAAAAATCTATTTTTAGAATTTCTCAATTTTTTCTTCATTTTCCGAAAGAGCATAGACCTCTAGATCTAAATCTAGACTCTAGATTAGATCTAGACTTACAAAATAATGTCCAAATGTCGAAAACCAATTGAATAGGGTAAGATTAAGTATTGGCTGCCGGCTGAGATATGACCATCTGAATGAATATGTTTCCTAGAGTCTATGTGAACTAAGTAAGTGTTATACTTATAATATGCTCTGGCTTAGGAGCCAGAGCATATAACACAGAGTTCACATAGACTATAGGGTCTAGGGCCAGATGGTCATAGCTCAGCCAATATTTAACAACAACATAGATCTAGATAATCTATAATAAGTTAGAGCCTTATTAGAGGTCTAACTAAAGTTAGATCTAGTATTCAATTGGTTTTCGACATTTTGGACATTATTTTATGAAGATGGATAGATCTAGTTGACATTTTCGTTCGTAGAGTACTGAGTAGATGTAGATCTCTCTAGACCCTACTGACTCTTACCAACTTACTTACCAACGCTAGCACTAGCAGTAGCAGTAGGCCCACCACATGGCCTGGCAGGGCAGGGTCATCATGATCATCATCATGGCCATAGCACCTATCATACTCTTTCACGTAAGTAAAGGAGGATGCCACCTCGAATGACTTTATGATCGCTGTCACTTCGTCGAATGACCGGACAAATCCTCGAAGACTCTCGTCCTCAACCCCGGAGTCTACTGGAGTCCACAATATTGATGGGCCTGATGGTGATGTTGAGCTCGTACTCGTAGTCGTACTCGTAGCCGAGTTCCCACTAATCCCAGTAGATCTAGACATCTTGATCATGATGTTTGACACTCGCGCGAGATGTACTCATAAATATTCATAAGAAAGACTGGCCTTTCTCGATCGGCCCGCCCACTGATTAATATTCATATTATGTGCTCATGTCAAAATCGCCTCTTAAGTGCCTACCCACCTTAGTACGCTACCAGTTCATGACTACATTGCCGCCCTCTAGAATGAAACGAGGTTATTCTGAATAGATGAATATAATCCGAACGCGTATGCCAGAACCATGCAAGGCCCAGAGGTATATATTCTTTTTTTATTAATCACCCTGGATATTTCAAACATATTCAACGAAATTAAAAAACAAAAACAAGATACTACAAAACATAACAACGATACAAACGATGCTGATTTTTTGTTGAGGCCTCCATCCTGGTCAAGCATCGCTTATGATTACAGTCTCCTGCACTTTTTCAACAGATAGTTTGGATAATACTTTAAATTTATAATATGTCATAGAAATATTAAGTTTTGTTATTATATGTACATTTGTCAAAAAAAACATTTTGACATGAAGTTATTATTGTGTGTATATTTTGTATTATACCTTACGTTTATATGTTCTTTGTTATTCAGATATTGTATATGGAAAAATGCAAAAAATAAAATAAAATTGAAAAAACATAACAACGAAATATTAGACTGGAGTGTGGAAAGTCCCCCCCCCCCCAAATAAGTTTGTTTCGATAGAGGCAGAATAATAAGAAAATCAGGTGAGTGAAAGTTTGAGCAAAGTCTGAATGAAAATAAGAAAGTTATGAATTATTGAAGTTGTGATCAATCAAATACAAATTGGCAACTCTGTGACTTATTATACGAGCTCTCCTTCATTTGCTTTGTGCATAATATTCCATAAAATCATGTTTTCTTCGTTATTGATGACGGAATATATATTTGTTCCTTGCAGGGGGAGTATAGAAACATATTTGCAATTATTATATTTAGGGTGCATGTATCATACATAAATTTTCATTTTCCCTCAAGAAAAATTTCAACCATAATGGTTGAAAATTTTAGAGTTTTTTAGTACTGAACAAATGGAAGTTGAGCTCGCATGATACGTCATAGAGTTGCCAATTTGTGTTTGATTGATCACAACTTCAAAAATCCTAACTTCCTTATTTTTAATCGGAATTTGCTCAAACTTTCACTGACTTGTTTCTCTCATTTTTCTACTCCTATTAAAACTAACTTAATTTCAGGGTGGACTTCCCCTTTAACGATTGACTTTTCATGCCGATTTTGAGAGTTCGGACGAGCCCCGGTAACGGACAAGCATTGTATCTTCTTTATTTTTGTAATACTTCATGATTTTCACTATTAATCCAGCGTCTCGACTCTCGACCTCTCTTTTTGTATTGGCATTCACTATCTCTCTAAATTTAGCCCCCAAATAGCCTACATAAATACATAGCTAATTTCATATATATATAGGGCCTACATGTGTTACGTCAAAGTTTATTTATCGTTTTTTAATTTATAATCGCTCTTTTTTTTATTTTTTTTTTATCTATCTGTCTAGCTTTCTGCCATTTTGCAATTATCTTCTATCTGTTATACTAATAGCCACTTGTCATAATAGGATGACTCATAATACAACTTAAACAACGTACCCTACACAGTCATACTACACAATCAATTCAAAAGGAGGTATTGTGAGATTAGTATTTGATTTTCTGTTGTAATTTGTAATTATTAAGGATTTTAGCATTATTCCGACCGAAGTAATCTTTAAAATTATCACTGAAAACATTTTTTTCTTAAAACGCCGTGACTAAACGACAGTGGTTTTTCTTACAGCGTGAATAGTTGCATTTTTTCCTCTATGTAATTATTTGCCAGCGATGTTTCAGCCCCAAGATCATAACAAACCAGATTGACACACTTTACAAAACTGTTGGTTCTTGCAAATTTCATATATTATGTTAATTACACGATAGCACAGGTGGTCAGAAAATTTCTTCTTTAGTCTCTACGCCACATGGTCCCTTTCTTTATCAAAACTAGGCCAATCGATGACCAACTCTAAACGTGGAAACGCATGCTAACATGGTGGCAATGTAGACATCAATAACGAAACAAATACACCGTGTGGCTTTTCCCGCCAAGAGTATTTGACGTCATCAAGTTCGGTTGATGGATCGATTGTTTGAACAAGGGACAGCTTCAAAATGATAAATGGTCTTTATCAACCATTGCAACCATTCGGTTTCTGTCTCGACCACTCTTCTTTGAAGTCCCTACACCACCTGATCCTTCACATCTCTCTCTCTCTCTCTCTCTCTCTCTCTCACCCATCCCTCCCTCTCCTCCCCCCTCTCTCTCTCCCTCTCCACCTCGCTATCTATGTCTCTCTCCCTCTCTTTTGAAACAGATTTTGACAAAATTAATAAGAGGGAGAGTCCCTATACATCCTCTTACCGATACTGAAAACGGGGAAGATTGCGTCTTTTTGTGTAAAAACTCTCCTTTCATAGTAAAGTGTTTTACCCCAATCTCTGATCCTGAACCTCCACTCAGTTCCTATCCTATTATTATCAAGCATTTGCTATTTTCTGTTCGGTTATCTTCTGAACTCTTTCAAATCAACCGGGGCATCCCGGTATTTTGTTTATCTCCAGCCGCCCCTCCCCTAGCAAGTCTCGGAGGGCCGCGGGATTTCTGAAAAACACGTTTTCGGAGAATTAAAATGGCCCGCAAGTAAAATACAACACGAAGTAGGTCTGCGCCCCCCCCCCCCCCCCCCCCCCCCCCCCCCTTCGGCCCCTCTGATTTTCTAACCCACTTTGGATTATTTCGGGATACGCAATTAATTATATTATTTGTTTGTTATTTTCATAAATCCTTTTCAAAGTAAAAGGACCTTAAAGTGTGTATAATCAAGATAACAAGGGTAGACTATACGGCGTTTACCCCTTGGGTTACGAGAAGAACCATTGGTTTACTTCATTAGTGCGAAGATGACACGGAAGAAAGATTCTCACTATATACAAACCTTGATTACTGACGTATTTCTATTAAAAGGCTGACGCACGTAATGCTTCGAGCTACAAAAGACCATTGAGTGAAAGGCGTTTGCAGGCAAGGTAATTGTTTTGCTCACAGTGGTGGAAGATTTCAATCAACGCATTTTGAAAAGAAAAATAAAGGATTTTCTTCATGAAACATGAAATATAATAATGTAGATCAAACCATTATGAGGATCGTTCCTGTCTACACCAAACGAGACATATCTATGATCATTATGGTAATAGGCCCTTACCCAAAAATCATCAACTATAAAACCAGTTTCATGGAATCCCGCCCCCCCCCCCCCCCCTCAGTGTTATAGGGTACGCATGTTATTATGCGTGTTCCCAGCACACCCCCTCCCCCCTTTCAGCATAAGTCCGGTGTGTAATGTCAATACGGGTAGACCTTTTTCTTTTGTTACGAGCCGTAGATTTTGGGAACACGCATGCGGTCCCTCCGTTCCTGGAGTGGGGGGGGGGGGGGTCGGGCATGGAATCCAGGTCAAAATCAATGTATTTCGTTTGCGTCATGGTTAACTAACAACGAGAGTTTATAATGACAATGTAATGGTGTTATAACTGCTTTATGTAACACGATTAAAGAGCGGACATGCGTACGTAGCTATATTGCTCGGTGGCTATATATCATTACGATTGTTATAAAATCAAATTGTTCTGAAGATTGATATAAATAGGCCCTTTTCTCTTGATGTTTTATTTTCAATTATGGAGAAGAAAATAAAAAGCTGCCTTACTTAATTATGATTTACACAAATCACAATCTATATCAAGTCAGAATAAATGTACAGTCGCTGCTTTTTTGTGCGTATGCTGATAAGGAAGATTTTGATATAAAATGTAAAATTGATCTCACTCTATACTTAAATAGAAATATCAAGTTACCTTGGATATTATCTTGATTGAAGTCTTAGGATCACTAACAGAATGCTTGTATTGCATGTAGTGAGCATCGACTCTATTTTGGCACAGCACCCCCACTTTTTCAAGTGCCCCAAAAGTTCCTCTTTTATTACACCGTTAAAGTGCCCTTTCCCCTTATCACCTCTGATAAGTGCCCCTTTTATTTTGGCACATGCCCTTTACCTTCGACAAGTTCCCATTTTCCTTTACAATAAGTGTCCTTTTCCATTCTCATAAGTGTCCTTTTTAATCTATAGTAAGTGCCCCTTTTCAGGTGCTATAAGTGCCCCTTTTCACTTCTAATAAGGGACCTATCCCCCTTTCACCACTTATAAATATCCCTATCACAATGTGATGGGTGCCTTTTCCCTCGACAATTGCCCATTCTCATAAGAGCCTTTTTTACATCCCTGGTGAGTGCCTCTTTTCAGGAGTAAGAAGTGGCCCATTTTCACCTCTGATAATCAACCTTTGTACTTTTACACGTGCCCCTTTTCTGTCTTATACCTTTCGATAAGTGTCCCATTTTCCTCTCATCATTAAAGATCGCTCGCATTTACAGATGATATAATTATGTTACTTATACCAAAGGTCTTTTCAGCCTCCCGTTGTGATAATGTGTTTATAACCCCAGCAGGATTGGTTTTTCCTCTTTATAACATGTAATTTTTCGCACTGCGACCTCACAAATCTTAAAAATTCCTCGCTCGCGTCGCTCGCTCGAAATTGAATATTCAGATCACCACACCCAACTGCAAAGTATGGTGTAGAAAGAGAAGCAAATAATGAAATCATCCCTATTAATGTAATTACAATGTAGGGGTGTATTCCAATGTCTAAAATATTGTATATTTTCGCTTTGAGATTTCCATTTGTAGGTGCCCGTTTTCCCAGAAAAGTGCCCCTTTTATGTTGGTGCCCCCCCCCCCCCCCACTTTGGAATTTGGAAGTCGCTCCGCCGCCCCTGAATCAAACAGTGTTGTTTTTATTTTGTCTGCGCATATCATCCAACATTACCTTGGATGAAAACCTTATTCATTATTTTGAGGGGCATAGATCAACCACTTTGATGCAATTCAAGAAAAAAAAAGGGGAGATTTACGAAATACCGAAAGGAGCTTAGCTTCTAAGGATTTGGTGTAACAAATTTCAATGGGGAGGGAGGGGGACTGATTG